CGTAGATTTATTATGCCGAGGGGCTTGGTGACTGTTGCATTAAAACTTGACAGTTCACCAACAACAGGGGTTAAGTCATTCACAGTAAACCCTAATACCCTGAAACAAGGTCAAAATAAGATGTCAGCATAGCTGCCATGGTCAACAAACACGCGATTAACGCCAAAGTTAGCTATTATTCCTTGGATGACTAAAGGGTCATCATGTCCAGGCAGGACGTTGCCCAAATCGTCGTAGTCCCAAACGATTTTAGGCTTAGTATGATCGTCATTGGCGTTAGCTTTGCTAATGTTTTACCATTTACCGCAAGACACTGCTTCAAATGGTTCTTTCTGGCGTTAGTTGTTTCGCCGCCGCCACTTAGTCCACCTGCAATCATGTTTATTATTCCGTGCTTGATAACAGCCGGGTCTTCTTCACCTTCTTGACGCCCTTCATTATTGTTTGGGCTGGTTTGGACCCTGCGGTTTCTTGGGAAGTTTTCCCTTCGGTTATGCTCATGGCGAGGCTCGTAGCCAGTTTGGCCATTTCTTCGCCTTTCTGGCGACCTGCTACGTTCACGGCGACGCCTTCCGTTACCGCTTTTGTGCCCCGAATTATTGAACTGCCTAAGGGCTCCTCCCTTGATTAGTTCATCAATCTTGTCCTTTAGGGATCTTCGCTCTTATGTGCTATGGCCATTACTCCGGTGGAACTTGCAGTACATAGTGATTTCTCTAGCTGGTGGTTGGTGTTGCGGGTTACAGTTGTGCTATTTGTACTTAGTTTGTAGGACGTTGTGAGATTGGCGTCTTTGAGTATCACGCCCGATTGGGCGACTAGAATACTTGGAGAATTTGTGACTTTTCCTTTCCTCATCAGCTATTTCTTTTTGGTTAGCTTTCTTCTCTCGGCTTTGAGAGTCGTCAGCTCTACTTCCTTTATACTCCTCAATTCTCATAAACTCTTGAGCTTTCTTCTTGACCTCTTCAAGGTCGGTAATCTCATGGAGGGCGAGCTCGTATGCGAACTCCCCTTGTCGCAGGCCTGAAAAAAGTATGTGCACCTGCACTTTAGGGTCTAAGCCTTGTACCTGAAGAGCCTCTTTGTCAAAGCGGTCCAAGAAAGACCTGAGGGGTTCCCCATATTGCTGGCGAATTTTTTCGAGTGCGTGTACAGACTTGGGAACAGGGCGACTAGTAGCGAAATGGGTTTGAAACTTGCATGCTAGATCATCCAAAAAAGCTATACTCCCCGTTGGCAAAGTGGTGTACCATGTCAATGCTCTCCCGCCCAAGAGTGTAGGAAAAGTCCTGCACATAAGGAGATCTGTCTCCCCATGAAGGGTCATTGCTGCTTCAAATTTCTGGATCCACTCAAAAGGGTCGGTGTCGCCCACGTACGTGGTGATATTTGACGGTCCTTTAAAATCGAGGGGTATGGGCGTTAGGCGTAGGCTATCAGTTAGAGGTTTGTTGCGTCCTGAGGTATTAGTGGGTGTTACTCGTAAGCTTGGGTTTCGAGCCTGCGGGTCTAGTGGTAGGCGAGGTATTTGGGGGGCCTCAATAGAGTATGAGAGAGCTGGGACTTGATGGACGCCATATTGTGGCTGGGCGGGGATCGCAACTGATCCTTGAGGTTGTGGAATGATTGCATTATGATGGTGTATCGGGTAACCGTGGAATGGAAAACCAGCAGGGAAAGGTTGAGGGAAAAGGGGAGCGATATTATGAGTGTAAGGTCCAGGGGGATATGGGACGACCATGAGGACTCGATGATCATTGTACATTGCCACTGGCTGACTTCGGGCCGGTTGCGGACGATGGGCAAGTGGGATGGTTTGTGGAATATCAATGGGGAATGGCATTCCAAAACGGACTCCTGGCGGTGGGGGTTGATTTGGGATTAAGTTTTCTCCTTGCATTTCACGTATGGCTACGCGATGACTCAACTGTGCTACTATAGCATCAGCTGCTGGTAATTGTGGACCAACAGGCTGCAGCACCGGGGGAAGAGCCTTGCCAACTGCTCATTCAGCTGGGGCTGAATGCATGGACGGTGGGGAGCTGGGATGCACTGTTTGTACATGCCCCTCTGGGGTAATGGCTCTAGTTTGTTCTGCTCTTCTTGTCGTGACAACCATGTTTAGTTATCAGAGTGTGAAATGCGTCTTGTGGATCTTTGGTAGGAGAATGAGAATAGAAGTTTATAGATTCCTACAGACGGCGTCAATGTACCGTTAGGGTCTATAAGCCCACTATGTTCCCTTTGTGAGATGATGTCACTGTATGGATGATACCCACAACAAAAGTATAAACCATGCTAGAAGGTATTATTCCAAGTATGGAGCAAGCTAACAAAGATGAAGACCTGGTGTGTGTATTGTGTGACTAATATAAATGAGCATAATAACGATACATAAGATGAGATCATGGTGTGCCCAAGGGGCTATTTATAGGGGAAAATGATGTGCACCTGGTGTGGGTTGGTGAGGAGGGGTCAACCCTCCTTGGGATTCGTCACGGGTGGCAGCGTTGGGCGTGACAGACGCTGCTATGATAGAAGTACTGCACCCTCTGCGCCTGGCGGTGTCAGCGTGGGACAACGAGGCAGTTTTCCTTTATGGTATCTGTGGCGGTCGCCTTTGAGGGTCAGGGTCCCAAGATGGGACATTTTGGTGTTTCTCCTAAGGGGAGTCGTTGCGTTGGGGGTTGGGGGGATGTCCTTGACAGCTGTTAGGGCTGACGTGGTAGAAGGCTGAAGTTGGGCCTGAACCCTTGGGCCGCCAATTGTTGGACCATTCGGAACAATGGTCAAATGACATTTTTTATTAATTAAGAAAAGATTATCTTATCAAATATGAATCAAACATTATGTAAAAGTATAATGGGATATTAATAAAGGGTTTGTATTTAGATTGAAAAGCAGGTGGAGAAAGATTCAATCATCATTTTGTTTGTTTGTTGTGGGGGCATTAAAAACGACAAGTGAGGCAACACAATGCATCAACCGTACCCCAGTATCAATCCTATACAAATCTCTGTACCTTTTGTTATTCTTCTTTTGAGTACAATTAATTTTGTAAACGGAAGATTATTCTTTCACAAATTTTTTGTGCACGTATCCTTTATTAATTAACGCTACTTATTAGTATTGGCCAAAGAGGGGAAACAAAATTAGTGACAAGTTTATGCTGAGGCATGCAAATTACTTTTGTATTTACCAGTAATATTTTATTTGTCATTATATAAAATTTTATGTTGAGTCATGATTTAATTATTTTGATTTACTATCTATTAGTAGAATAAAGATAAAATTTTATTCAATAATAAAAGATATCAAAAAGTATATTAACAACCTCTTTCTAACTAATATAATTCCGTAATGTTGTTATACCGTTTAAAGAACAATATCAAAATGAATCTTTTCATATGTTATTTTAATATGATCATATGAAAAATTTAAGTTATTTAATTTTAATAACAAAATTTGTAAATAAATATTTAGGATTTATGTTCAAACAAAACATAAAAAAATTGGTCAATCACATTACAAATTATCATTACATGCAAAATCAATTATAACATATGTGTTGGCAAGAATTGCGAAGAGAAATTTTGATTGATTCAAGTAACAATATGAACTTAAGAGGAATGATTTGTGAGCAACGATTCGAATTCAGAAGAGAATCTTTAGGGATCAAAGTTAAGTCTTGTTACTATGTTTATTTATATATTTGTGGGAATTCCTTTCTTGGCCTGCCAAATATGAATATTAGAGGATTAAATTCATCTTATATAAATAATTAGGACCACCAAGTACGTGAATTAATTAATAAGAAGTTATTTTAGTTTAACCAGCGGCTTCAAATTTGAGTGTCGTTGTTTTAAAAATTAATAGGGAGAATTTTATTGTCAATTCCTAACAAGCACGGACACACACTTTTTAAAATTAGTGCGTGTCGAACATCGATACTTTCTGACACACAGTCAACTTTTTCTAACACATGGTCAACGTTTTGACACGTTTTTTTAGGTTTAAATTTTATTTATTTATTTATTTTTTGGTATCCTATTTTATTTTATTAACTAAACATAAAAAAATTATTTACAAATTTTTTCTGTTATAAAATTTATCATGAAAAATTAACAAAGTACGAAAAATATTATTTAATATTAAAACGTGTTCCAATATATCAAAATATGATAATTTTTAGAATTAACGTGTCGGCGTGTCGTGTCGTGTCTCATGTCAGTGTCGGTGCATCATACGTCAATCCTATCAAACTCAAATAAAATCAGTTGAGTAATTGATAGAATGATAAATAATATTAAAAATAAATAAATAATTAGAGTTATAAAATAAAAAAAACAAAATAAATTGAACATTGGGAGAGAGAGACATCAAGAGCATCAACTTGTGGGACATAACCCAAAAATAACTCAAATTGCAAAAAAATGATCTTCTCGTATTAAAAAAATATGATATGATTATGTAAAAAGATTATAATCATATACAAATAAATTAATAATTATAATTTTATAATTATTTATTCTAATATTTTTTTTCTCCTTTTTTTTCATTATTAATCCACTTTGTATGGCAAATGATGTGTGCTTTTTTGTTAAGTAGGTAAACATAAGGAAAAACGTAAAATACATAGTGAGGGAGAGAGAGGAGGAAGGACAAGAAGAGAGTGATTGGAGTAGCATTGACTCTCCTAAAAAAACACACATGATGACCCAATCAAGGCAAAAACATCAGAGCGTGGTGTTCACTCTCCAATCAAGGATGATTATGTTATCGTAAGTTACCCCTCCATCAGAAACTCAATTGGAGCGTGAGTATCAAACTCTAATAAAAGCACTGGGAAGTGCTCAAATGCACAAATGTGCTCGGGAAAGAAAACTCAAAAATAAATAAAATAAAATAAAAAAATAAAATAAAAATTGAAAGTTAATAATAGTGAGTGTGTCAGAGGTTAGGGGCAAGTGAACGTGCACTATTTGAAGCACAGATCTGGATCCACTCAAAGCACCCAAACCAATTCCCTTACCATGGAACACAAAGACACACACACATAAACACATAAACACTTGCACTTGTTGCTGTTCCTTTCCTACCACTACCCCGGTTCTTGTTTTTATTATAGGGAAGGAGTTAAGGGTCTATATAGATAAAAGTGTGTTAAGTGAGAGAAGAAAATCTTGGGTTGAGAGAGATAGATATAGATATAGATAGAGAGAGAGAAAGAGAGAAAGGTGTCAACTTCACTGTTCAAACTTGCTCAGAACCCCATAAAAACACAGTAAGGAGCAGTGAAGCAATTGATGGTTCTTCTGCTGCTACTTCTGCTTGCATATGCTAACAGGCTATAAAGAAGGCGGTGGTTTGGCTTTTTTGTAGTATAGAGGTTGACCACTATTGTGTTTGAGGGAAAAAAAATTTAATCTTTTTTTGAGAGAGTAACCAAGAGAAAGATTATCCCTTTCATGGGTAAGCCTGTATTCTTCTGCTCTGAACTGGATTTCAAATTCAATTTGGAAAAAAAAAAAGGGTGATTTTTTTGAGAGAGAGAGAGAAAGAGAAAAAAAAATTTAAATAATAAGAGTTACTTGTTTATGTTTGTTTCTTCTCTTATTGATTCTGCAACTTTTTCACTCATTACTTCTTTATAGAGAAATTATTCAACTCTGCCAATTTTTCTTTTACCCTTTTTTCTCTCCTGGTTTCCTCCATTAGTCTCCTTTTAATCTTTCACACGGGAATACTCCTTTTGACACTTAACTTTCTTGTTTTGCTTCTCCTTTTCTCTTTTAACATGCTTTTTCTTCGGCTTTGTTGCAGGGAATATGAGAAAGAAACATAATATTGTGTTACCACTCATCTCAGGTTGGTAGGTAGGGCTTGTGTTTGTGTGTATGTGTGTGTGTGGTTGAGAAGAAAGAAACTTTACTTGTAATAGGGAGTGAAAGAGAAAGAGAGAGAAAGATAACACTCAACTCACCAACAGGAGAAAAAAATTTGTGTCTTTGGGGATTGGTTAGTTTCTTTCTGGAACCAAGTAAGAATATTTACAACCATGGATGGTTATGAAGCTACGAGGATTGTGTTTTCAAGGATCCAAAACTTGGACCCTGAAAATGCTTCTAAAATAATGGGTCTACTTCTGATTCAAGACCATGGTGAGAAAGAAATGATAAGATTAGCATTTGGTCCTGAAGCCCTAGTTCACTCAGTGATTTTCAACGCCAGAAAGGAGTTAGGATTACCCTTGAACTCTCCTACACCCTCTACACCTTCATCTCCATCCCCTTTCCTTTCAAGCAACCCAGTCCCTATTTCCAGGCAAAATTCCAATGCTTCCAGGCTCATAAACAGTGGCATGAGCCTTCCTTCTGCTCTCAATATCCCGAACCCTGCTTTCTCTACTACTTCAGCTTCTTGGGCCACTCTTTCTGAACTTCAAAACCCTGATGATTTGATGAGCCCCAACAATTTAGTTGTTGGGTCTTCTACTACTTCCATGAACACTTCATCTTCTTTACCTTTCTATGGAAATGGTGGGTCTGATCCTATAGATGAGTTTCAACTTCAAGACCAGCTATCTTTTCTCAATGATGGGTCACCTTCCCTTGTGCAAAAGAACTCAGATTTATTTTACTCTCATTCAGACTTATCTTCTAGTCCTACTAGTGGTGGTGGTGGTGACCCTACCCTTTTTGCATCATATGGTTGGGGAGGGTCACTTCACCGTAGGAGTTGCTCTGTCAATGATGTCTGTTTAGGGTCTGAAGACCCGAATTCTGGGTTGGGTTGGAAGCCTTGTCTTTACTTTGCTAGAGGGTACTGCAAAAATGGCACAAGTTGCAGGTTCCTTCATGGAGGAGGCCTTGGAGATGCTGAGGGTGTTGCTGCAATGGTTGGGTCTCCTAGTAAGATTGATATGATGGACCAGTGCCATGAACTCCTTAGATCTAAAACTGCTCAGCAACAAAGATTGGTTGCTGCTTCTCAGCTCATGGCCTCTTCATCTTTTCCATACTCTCCAAAGTGCATGAATTTTCTGATGCAGCAGCAACAAAGTGATGTGCAAAGGTATGAAGTGCTGTTCTTTTTTGAGTTGTTGGGTTTCAACATAGTTAGTTGAATACTAATCACGAATGTTATTGCAGAGCCGCTGCTGCAGCTCTAATGATGAATGAGGATTTGCACAAATTTGGAAGATCCAGGCTAGAGAGAAATGATTTCTCTTTGAACAGTCCTGGAATAGTGAACCCAGCTTCTAGGCAGATCTACCTGACCTTCCCAGCAGATAGCACTTTTAGAGAGGAAGATGTTTCAAACTACTTCAGGTTTGTTTTTTCTTCTAGCTTTTGTGATGAATTGGATTCTGCGTAGTTTGCTAATTTTTTGCAGTGCTGAAAAGTTGACTTGTTTTTTCATTATTACAATGCTGCAGCATTTATGGGCCTGTTCAAGACGTGAGGATCCCATATCAGCAAAAACGTATGTTTGGATTTGTTACATTTGTTTATCCAGAGACAGTGAAGCTCATTTTATCCAAAGGAAATCCTCATTTTGTTTGTGATGCTCGAGTACTTGTTAAGCCATACAAAGAGAAGGGCAAAGTCCCGGACAAGTACAGGCACCTCCACTTCCTTGTTCTTTTACTCTCTATTCTTATTCATCGTTTCACATAATATGCTTTGAACTGTGCTTATGTTTCTTCACATTTGCAGAAAGCAGCAGCAACAAGTAGATAGGGGTGATTTTTCACCTTGTGGTACTCCTACTGGACTTGATGGTAGAGATCCATTTGATCTCCAAGTTGGTAAGTTAATGCTTTAACCTCCCTCCTTTTTCTTTTCATTTGTGATTGTGTACTTATCTGCCTCTAATTTTTTAGGAGGGAGAATGTACTACAATACTCAAGACATGCTTTGGAGGAGGAAGTTAGAGGAACAAGCTGATTTGCAGCAAGCCCTTGAGCTCCAAAGTAGAAGGTTTATGGGTTTGCAACTTCTTGACATCAAGAAGCAACACCAGCGTGCACTTTCCACTGGAAGTCCAATTCCTTCCCCAATGCACTCTCCTAATATTTTCAATCAAAATCTTGTTCTTTCTTCTTTTCACAGCAGCTCAGAGAGCCAAGAGGGTATATAACTACATATATATCTCTACCATTTTTAAATGCAGTTGATATTGAACTGAACTTGGTGCTTTCTGGCAATTGGAATGAACTGGTTGAGATTTATACTGTGTTTGATTCCACTCCAGAGAGTGGTTCAGGTTCTGCTCCTGCTAGCACTGCATCAGTTCCTGTTGAGGCTGTCAACATTTCTGTTGACAATGAAGTGGCAGTTAATGGAGAGAATGGAAATAGTGATGGCAATGGCAAACAAAGCTCCAGTCATGAAGATCGTGATTTACAAGAATGGTATAAAACTTTTTTCTCATTTAGAGAATAACCAAAAGGGGTACAAGAATAGCAAGCACCCTTTTTTGCATCTAATTCCTCTTTTAGTCCATGTTAAAAGTTTTCTACATTTATTCCTGATTTTCTAATCCTGACATTGATTGTCTGTTAAAAGGTTATGTATCTAAATGGGTTTTATGCATAAATGCAGCTTGGAACATAATCTCCCTGATAGCCCTTTTGCTTCCCCCACAAAAGCTATTGGAGACTATATGACTGCATTCTCTAATGGACCTAATGAGGTCATTGATTCAGATGCTTCAGCTGCATCTGCTAACTCTAAATTTGGCACTAGCACATTGCTGCCAGCAGCATCTGCTCTTGACATGGGGTCTTTCAAATCCTTTAATTGCCAAATACCAAGGTACTAATAAATCAGTCTTGCATCATATTTAACTTCCCAATTGGCTTGAGTTTCAGTATCCACAAATCAAAGTATCCATAAATATTTGATTTCTGATTATATGGATTTTAACTTAGGTTCTCTTCTGGCCATGGAACCATTGGGATGCTTGCTGGCACTGGTGGACCTATTGGCATTTAGAGTTTAGTTTTCCTAGATTCAGGTAAGTTACTCTCAAATCTTTCAGTTTATGAGGAGCTGTGCTGCATGTCTTCAACGTGCATAACAGTTGTTGCTTTTTGTTTATTAAACTAAGAAGTCTATTTGGTCTTTTTACTATTTTTGTTTTTTCTTTGTTCAATATTTACAGGAAGAAAAGCATGACCTAATGATCCTGGAAATCAAACAAATCTATAGAGAATCATCACCATAGCGGCCATCACCATCAATCATCAATACTATACTACTTACTACCATACAAAATGCATACTTAAAAAGCAGTTTAGTAAAGGAAGTGGGACATGCATTCCCTTTTATTTTGTTATCATTATTGTACCATTTTCACTTCTCTTTCTGTAGTGAGTTGAATCACAGGTTAAAAAAAAAGAAGCATAATATCAATGTGTATTAGGAACAACATCTGTCACTGTAATATCTTCCCCTTCTCTTCCTTTACCTGTGTTTTATGTTTTCTAGTGTTCTGTTAGTTTCTATGAGGGATAATTCTCAAGTCTCTGTACAGCTGAAGCACACCCTAGAGAAAAGCATGCAAAGGAAGAAGTGGTTAAAGCAGAGTTGTATAACTACAAGGCTGATTCAAATATGATAAAAAGTATTTTGAACTTGAAGGGCCAGGAGTGAAGATGGGAAATGTCTAATTATTAGTCTTAGTTGGTGGGTTAAAGTTGAAAAAAGAAGATTTTCTAGCTCTATTTTGTGTTGGCAGTAATGTTTCTTACTCATGCTTAGTTGTTATATACACAGTTCTCAACCCCTACTAGATTATGTTACCAGACAGAAAAGAGAGAGAGATTTTAGAAAGAAAAAGCAGAAAGCAAAAGTGATTTCAAGGCTAATTGGTCATTTTCTCTTATCCTGTGCTTTTTTTTTTTTTTTTTAATTTTGAAGGAGAATTTGTCTTTGTTCTTGCAATTATTTTGCCCTTTCAATTTGTAAATTGGTAAGGTGGGGTCATCGTCTTTATTTGTTTTGCCATTATTGGAGGGGGGAAATAAGAGAGGTCCACAGGGCAGACACCACCATCACATGGGGTTGCTGACACTGCAAGTGGGCCTCTTTCATTTATATAATGCCAGGTTATGTGTGGGTCTCACCCACCAAAACCCACCCATGTGAGTGATGCCTACTTTCTTTCTCTTGATTATATATATTATGTATATATTTATTCCATAGTAGCTTTTACTTTCTCTTACTGACAGGAAAGGACATACATAAATCTACTTAAAAAGTAGATGTAGATGCCCACACGTATGACAAAAGTGCACGGTTACTGGAATCTTTTGGGGTCTGTGTGTGGCCTGTGAATGTGTGACATAATAAAATGTGACACAGTCCTCTGAGATACTGTGCATTTATTATTATTTTTTACCGTTTCCAAAGCTATTTATTTATTTTAACTTCTACCTAGTTGTTACGCAAAAATATTGGGTTTTGAAATTTGTGATAAAATTTGAATTGTGTGACAAAAGCGTTGTTGAAACAACAACTGGCTCTTAGTGGATAAGATCAAGCCGTCAAGGTGGTTGGCTTTAACACGTTGGTTAGATGTAAATGAAATGGTCTTTTGACCCAATTAATGTGAAAGGGAACCTTTTATTGTATTTATTTGTAATTTAAATATTTTATTAAAATAATGGTGTAAGATGTGTATTTAGTGGGGAGTGAATTCTCTTATGTTAGAAATTTTTTATAATTTAGTCATGAAATTATTGTATTTATCTTTTTCATCACATGTATTAAATAAGTATGGTTTAATTATCATTAATCAAGAAAAAAAATACATAAAATTTTTACATTATCATGATAGTTATTGTGTTCTATTGGATTATTCAAGTGTGATGAGTTTTATATTAGTTGGTAATGGGTTAAGTGAAGTTTATATAAGTGAGACATGATGTTGGATATTACTTGATATGGTGGGGTAGTTTTAGTTCATTGGTGATGATTTTTTGTTATAGGCTCTTTCTGGACACGTCTAGTAGTGGTATCATAGTTGGATTGAGCTTGAGTTAGCTTGACTACAAGTGGGTTGAATACCTGTGTTTAGGAGGAGATATATGAGTAAATGTGTGCCTGATATATATGCATGTTGTCAAATAGCATATCACTTTAGTGTGTGCAATAGGGATATGCAAAATAATCAAAAAAATTGAACCGAACCATGAACTGATCTGCCAGTTAGCTTGGCTACAAGTGGGTTGAATACCTGTGTTTAGGAGGAGATATATGAGTAAATGTGTGCCTGATATATATGCATGTTGTCAAATAGCATATCACTTCAGTGTGCGCAATAAGGATGTACAAAATAATCAAAAAATTGAATCGAACCATGAACTGATCGAACTGCCTTTAAAATAATTGATTTTTAAAAATTAGTTCATGAATCGAATCGGTTTTTAAAGAACCAGTTCATGAACCGAATTGATTTTTAGAATCAGTTTAAGAACTGAACAATTTTGAATCGAACCGAACCATTTTCAAATCGAACTAAATTGATTTGTATAACTTTATTTTTTAAATTATTTTTTTTTTTTTTTTCAAAATAGGATCGACCCGAACCGGTTTCAAACCGAACCGAACCACTTTCGAACCGAATCATTTTTGAATCGAACCGAACCATTTAAACCAATTCAGTTCGGTTTTTTAAAAAAATCGATTCAGTTCGACTCATACACATCCCTAGTGTGCATGCATTTTCATGTAAGATTTGAATGTGCACCTTTTTCACGTATATTTCATGATATTAATTAGATAAAATATTTGGAAATAAAATAAAATCTGATAAAATAGACCATAGACTGTTTCAACAGTGGTGGTGACCGGTGAATCGATGGACTATCCTTTATATGATACCCTATTTGGTTTCTTGGAAATTCATGAGCAATATTTTGTACATCAAAAGAGATAATCTCGTTCCTAGTTTGGTGCAATTTTGTTTGCTAGTCACTTGTAAAGTTTTTGGTCTTTTATGGGGCATGTGTCAAGTAGTTTGTAGTGGCTGAGGATTCTAGAAACATAATCAGAGGTGAAATAGATGGGTAGTCTCTTAAAGCTCTTCCAAGTGCAGTGTTTGTGGTTGCTATCCCTGTTTTCACAAAAATCATTGTTTAAAAAATGTGCTTGTGTTGCTTTTGGTAAAACTTTTCAAACAAATCAGGCGCTCCATGATTGTGGAAATGGGGAATGTTTCTCTTGAACAAAAGTCCTTAGGTTTGGACTCACTAGATTTTTTTGAGAAAGGTTAGTGAGATTATGAGAAACGGCCGGTGACTTATCATGTCATGGAAAAATGTTTAAAGGGGATATTTAATAATTAGAAAATGAGTTATTTTTTCTAAAGTTATTTTAGACGAAATGACATCGTTTTGAGGTGGAAATTCTGATATATTTATAATCTTAATTTATTTGTTATAATAGTCTTTACCATTCTAATTTTTAAATTTTTCAACTCCGAAATAACGTCATTTCGGTAAACATTAGATAAATTTGTCTAAAGCAACATTAGATACATTTTTCCTTTAGAAAATTGGGGCTCAAACAAAGATATTTTTGTTGGGGTAGACTAATCATATTACTTTTTTAAAAAATAAAATAAAAATGGATTTTAAGTTTGAAAATTTGGCGGGTATTAAGAGTATTTTTTCAGCTTTAAAATTCAAAGCAAAAAGTTGTATGTAACTCAATTTTTTTGATAAGTATGAATTATTAAGTAATGTATTAATTTTCAATGAATTGAGCTATTGAATTCTTGTTAACATATATTAGCATGTTTTCTTCGGTAATATTAGATTTTTAAATGTCAGAATATGTGGATTGGTAATCATAGTAATTTTTCAAAATAAAACAGATTAAAAATATAATTTACAAATTATACTTGGACGTACATCGCTGTCTTTTTTATAGCACTTTATACAAGTCTCTTCTTACAATTATTATTTCAGAGAAGGGTCAAAAGTGTATGATTTACTTTTGTCCTATTGAAGTAACAAGCAGATCATTGCTCATTATATATATACTTTTTGGTGGACTGCTAATGATATATTATTTTTGGCTGTACTGCATTCTTGTGGTTTAAAATTCCAAAGTTAAAACAGTAAAACATGAAAGAACTCTCATATGAATGTTACATAGTAATAATATAACACGATTCATATGAAGCAAATAATTTATTACAACATCTCATAGCTAAGGTTTTCCCATCCTACAACTATCTTAAGTCAGGGACCTTCCCTCACATAGCAAAATCTCATAAGTAAGGTTTGCTCATCCTACAACAGCATAAAGTGGCTAAGATCCTCTTACTCGATCACATAAGTCAGATGACAGTAGGTGCAGCCACTTAATTAAGACCTCAGTCCGACCCAGAGAAGTCTTTCTCCAATCAAGGACAGCTTCCGGTTCTACTTGTAACTCCCAATCATCAGCAAGCATGGCACGCAAGAATAATAGCATGTAACTTATCATTAGCCTCTAAATCCCTACAACCAACTGCATCCACGCAAGTTAGAGTAGAAAATTGCAGATTGCCAGAGAGGGCATCAGCCAACACATTCTCTCTCCCAGGTTGATATTAGATCTCGAAATCGTATCCTAAGAGTTTGGTAACCCATTGTTGTTGCTCTTCACCTAAAAAACGTTGCTCTGTCAGAAATTTCAAGCTTTTTTTGATAAGTTTTAATGATAAATGATGCCCCAATATGGTTGCTATTTCTGGAATGCAAACACAATGGTCATAAGCTTTTTTTCATATATGGACTTCTCTTGTGCTCTTGGTGAAAACCCTTGGCTGATGAAACTGTGTGGACGATCTCCCTGCATTAAAACAACACCAACCCCACATCCTGAGGCATCTGTGACCACAGTAAAAGGCTTGTTGAAGTCTAGTAGAGCTAGAACTAGAAGGGTACACATTGATGATTTAAGCGCATCAAACGCCAGTTGGACTTGTTCACTCCATACAAAGCAGTCTTTCTTAAATAATTGTGTCAAAGGTTTAGCTATCTTCCTATAGTCTTGGACAAATTTTCAGTAGTAACCCATTAGTCCTAAAAAACCCCGTAATCACATTCTTTGGGACCTACCATTGTAGCATTGCTTCCACCTTTTTCTGGTTTGCACGAACTCCCTCATTGGAGATAATGTGGCCCAATTATTCCACTTGTTCCAAAGTGAACTTTCACTTCTTGCGATTAGCCACCAAGCTGTTGCTTCGCAGAACCTCAACTACAGCTCTAAGATGGTTCATATGATCTGCCTTGCTGCTACTATAAATTAAAATGTCATTAAAAAACACTAAAACAAATTTACGTAAAAATGGTTTTAGAACCTCGTTCATCAGAGAATTTAAAGTAGAGGGCTGATTGGTGAGCCCAAAAGACATCACCAAGTACTCATAATGGCCTTCGTGAGTCCAGAAGGCTGTTTTAGAGATATCCTCTTCCTAATCCAGTGATAACTAGATTTGAGGTCCAACTTGGAGAACACATTAGAGCCACCCCAATTCATCCATAAGCTCCTCAATGACCGGTATAGGAAATCTGTAAGTGTAGAAAATCAGAATTCAAATTCAAATATTTTTCCGTTTTTATTTATTAGGAATAATTAAGATTAATTAGGATTTATTGTTTTTTATTTCCTATTAGTTAGGATTAATTGTAATTAATTAGAATTAATTGTGATTAGGTTTAGTGAGTCATAGCTGAGTCATTCTTATGATTGTGATTAGGTTTGGTTTGGTGAGTCATAGCTGAGTCATGCTTAGCTATTTTTTCTTGTATAAATACTCCTCATTCCTCATGTAATTATTTCAATATCGATATACTGAAAACCTTTTTCAATATGGTATCAGAGCCAGGTTGGTCCTGAGAAAACTCAGCCACCACAACCACCTTCAAACCGGCGGCACAACGCCGGAAAACTCAACCTCCAACCATTATTAAGGTTATTTTCCCTTCCTACAAAGTCCCAAGAGCAAAGTAAGGCTACCAATCACTGTAGAAGGCAAAATCCCAGCTTTCCACTGCCGTCAGCCACCGTCAGCAGCCGTCGAAAAAATTTTCCGGCGACATTTCCGACCAAGATCCGCGCCATTCGAAACAGAAGGAGCCGATCTACAAGTTTCAAGAAGGACCATCGGATTCTGCTGAGCCACGCGCTAGAGCAAGGACGGAGCGTCCGTCCTACGCGTTACCACACGCAGCCATGTTGATTGAAAGTAAATTTCCATACAGCAATGTTGCTCAACAAGGTATAGCGTTCCATGTTGATAATAGTAGTCGATGGATTCTTGATTCAGGGGCTTCAGATCATATGACAGGTAATGCAACCTTATTTTGTTCTTATACCCCTTACTATCAACAATCACGAATAAGAATAGCAGATGGCAGCTTCTCTACTATTGCTGGAAAAGGATCCATTAAACTTTCTGAACACATTACTTTGAACTCAGTCCTTCATGTTCCCTCTCTTACTTGTAACCTTATCTCTATCAGCAAACTTACGTCTGAGTTACATTGTGTTGCCAAGTTTTCTGTCAATGCTTGTGTTTTCCAAGAACAGGACTCGGGGCTGATGATTGGCAGTGCTAGAGAGGAAAAAAGACTTTATTATTTAGAAAAAGATTCTTGTGAAGGAAAATTTTTTGTGAACCACTCGGTATGTTTGTCTGATGATTGTAATGATGTTTTGTTGTGGCGTCGACAGCAGGATACTATCCGAGTTCTTTTATCACTTGCTGCAAATCTTGGTTGGCCCTTGCAACAATTAGATGTAAAGAATGCTTTCTTGAATGGTGATCTACATGAAGAAGTTTATATGGATCCACCACCTGGTTTTGAAAAAGGAGACGATTCAGTATGCAAGTTGAAAAAGTCTCTCTATGGTCTTAAACAATCTCCTAGAGAGTGGTTTGAGAAGTTTACTCAAGCTGTTAAGGGAAGAGGATTCCTCCAAGCTCAGACTGATCACACTTTATTTTTAAAACACTCTAATGGTGGTAAAATTGTTATTCTCATTGTTTATGTTGATGACATAATTGTCACAGGTAATGATTGTGAGGAGATAAGCTCTTTGAAGAAATGTTTAGCTAATCAGTTTGAACTGAAGGATCTTGGATCTCTCAAATATTTCCTAGGCATGGAAGTTGCTCGAAGTAAGGCAGGAATTTCTTTAACTCAGAAGAAATATATTCTAGACCTGTTACAAGAAACAGGAATGCTTGGGTGCAAGCCAGCAGAGACTCCAGTTGAACCCAATATTAAATTGGGAATCGAAGATGGGAAAGAAGTTGACAAAGAGCAGTATCAGAGATTGGTGGGGAAGTTGATCTACTTATCTCACACTCGGCCTGATATTGCATTTGCAGTTAGCATGGTTAGTCAATTCATGCATTCTCCTAAGGAAAAACACCTGAGTGCAGTTTATAGAATTCTGAAGTACCTCAAAAACACCCCTGGTCGAGGATTGTTCTTTAAAAGGGGACACAAGAGGATGATTGAAATATATACAGATGCAGATTGGGTTGGCTCTGCATTGGACCGAAGATCCACTTCAGGATATTGCACCTATATTTGGGAAAATCTTATGACCTGGAGAAGTAAGAAACAAACAGTTGTTGCCCGGAGCAGTGCAGAAGCAGAATTTCGGGCTCTAGCCCATGGTATTTGTGAAGGAATTTGGTTAAGAAGACTCCTTGAGGAATTGAAGATCTCTTTTTCCCCACCTGTCAGAGTGTATTGTGATAATAAGGCTGCTGTCAGTATTGCTCAAAATCCAGTTCACCATGACAGAACAAAACATGTGGAGGTTGATCGCCACTTTATCAAAGAAAAAATAGATGATGGAAGTGTATGTATGGTGTATATTCCTACCAAAGAGCAGATTGCAGATATTCTCACTAAGGGCCTACACCGGCCAGCCTTTGAAGACTTGATTGGCAAGTTGGGAATGATCAACATTTACCTCCCAACTTGAGGGGGAGTGTAGAAAATCAGAATTGAAATTCAAATATTTTTCCGTTTTTATTTATTAGGAATAATTAAGATTAATTAGGATTTATTGTTTTTTATTTCCTATTAGTTATGATTAATTGTAATTAATTAGAATTAATTGTGATTAGGTTCAGTGAGTCATAGCTGAGTCATTCTTATGATTGTGATTAGGTTTGGTTTGGTGAGTCATAGCTGAGTCATGCTTAGCTATTTTTTCTTGTATAAATACTCCTCATTCCTCATGTAATTATTTCAATATCGATATACTGAAAACCTTTTTCAATAGTAAGGTACTGCAATCTTATTCAATGTCCTACAATCCACACATGCTCTCCAGCTCCCATCTTTCTTCCTCACCAAGATTATAGGACTAGAATAAGGACCCACATTCGGTCTAATCAGCCCCGAATTAAGCAATTCAGACACCAGCTTTTCAATTATAGATTTATGATAATAGGGGTACCTGTATGGTCTCATGTTGGGTTTCTCACTGCCTGCCTTGAGGGTAATGGCGTGGTCTTGCCTTCTCTTCGGTGGAAGCCCCTAGGGCTCTTGAAAGATGTCATCGAACTCCTGCAATAACCCTTGTATTTCTAGCCACAACTCCTCAGGGGCTAATTCTGACATTGTAATCCAGTGTTGATCAACCACAAATCCCTGCCCCTCTGCAGATAGAGCCTTGACAGTAGAACGAAGAGAAGCCATCACTTTGGTATTGGAAAGAATCGAGTCCCCCTTCAACACTACTTCTTGCCCATCGACACACCTTTAACATCAGTGTGTTGAAATCCACCTTCATTTCTCCCAAGCTCTTTAACCAATCCAACCCCAATATGACTTCATCTCCCCCCAATTCGAAAAGGAACAAATCTTGTCGCGATTTTTCCCCTTGCACATCAAGGTCAAGATTTTTGCAAGCGCCATGACACTCGACCTTATACCCATCTCCCACTCCACCTTGTACTTGGGAGTGTCTTCAACAGCGAGCCTTAAACGATCAGCTATTGTCTTGGCCACAAAGTTGTGAGAAGCTCCATTATCCACCATCATGATCAATCGTTCGCCCTATAAGCTGTACCTCGAAAGTTATAGAATTTTCGCTTCTTCCTTTGGTTCTTCCTTCGTCACGCAAACTTCCTGGACCTCGTCGCTCCCAACGCCTTCTTCATTGACCAGAAACAGATGGAGTTGCGGGACTTTGCAACGATAAGTAGGGTCCTATTTCTCTTCACATTTGAAATACACCCCTCTTCGCATTCGATCTTGAAGCTCGGTTTGTGTCAATCGACACCCATCAACCCTAGAACTACTGGTTCCAGCTCCTTCGATAGGTTTGGAAGATGAAGCCACACCAATTCCACATGTATTAGTGGTTGTCTGCGTGTCACCCCCCGCTGCAGCCTAATTGGCTCGCGTGTCCCCTCCACTGCCACTTGAGCTTAAGTGACTCACGTGCTTGGTATTAACAGAGAATTTCCCAATACGACTGGGCTACACACCTCGATTGGGCCCATTCCACTTAGAATTAGTTACCAACCCAAAACCATCATTGGCCCAAGCTTGGTTCCGTTTCTCCAAGAGAGTCGTCTCGATCATCAACTCCCCTAAACTCATCAAGTTCTTCTGCAACAACTCTGTTCTTAACCCTTCATTAAGACCATATAGCCAAATCTCTCTCAACATATGATCATCAGCGTAATGTAACGGGCTGATTATTCGTTCAAACTCTGCTCGAAACGCAACAACACTACCCATTTGTCTTAAACTTATTAAAGCTTGGTAAGGACTTCGTATGGCTTCCGTCGTAAACCTCTCCAAGGTTTTAGCCCTGAAATCAGCCCAAGTGGCGTTAAGGTTGCTCATTTCCCTAACCTGGAACCAATTAAAGGCTGAAGCATCCAATACCACCATGACTACATTGATCTTGTCCCTGTCCGAAAAACGATTCACCATAAACTACCTCTCTACCTTGGTGAGCCACAAATATACATCCTCACTATGAAATCAAGGCATCTCCAGGCGATGGGAACGCCAAACTACTCCTCGTTCCACCTTCATACTTCCCTACCCAGAATCCACGAACTCTGGTCTTCCCCTACGCGAACGTCCCCGCCGTCGATTCCTCTCTCGACTTGGAGGTCTATCTGTTACGACGATCCTGAATAAGTTGCACGATCTCCATTAGTCTCTGTTTTGTCCTACAGAAGTGTCTTCTGTTAGCTCCTCATTCCTACGGAAGCGCTCATCAATTCCTTCGAATCTAGCATCCATATTGCGGGTCACAACCATTCAAAACACCCTTGGATCAGAGTGCTCTGATACCAATTGATACATCTGGATCAGCAAAACAACAATAACAGAAAGAAGAACAGGGAATTTTTGACCCAGAAAGAAGACTTTCTGGATTTTCTGTATATTATAACAACTGGAAATGACAAATTACAGAAAAGAAAATTATCAGCAGAACAATTAACTCTTTTACAATTTAGGTCTCCACTATCACTATGATTATACTAAAAAAAAAGAAAAAACAGGCTCAACACATTAGAGAGGTGTTGATCTCTCCCAAGTCCAAGTCCCATGTCCAGTATGAATGCCCATTGCACTGGTACCTAGCTCCTATAACCTCCTTAACCTCGTGCCACATCATTATTCCCTCCTTTCTCACTTCTTACAGCTCCAACAGAATTGCTCTCCAAAACGAGCAAACATTTGGTGCTACCGATGCACCATGCATCGGTCCCAAAAAGGCAAAAAAGTTGAGATAGGGATGGAATATAAATGAAAGTGTGGGTTTAAATGGAAAAAAAATTTACTTTTTTTAGAAAAAAGATGTACCCAAGTGGGTACATATGATGTATAGAAAAAAATTCCCTCCAAAACCTCTTCTAGAATATGCTGTCCTACTTCAGCAACATTCCCAAGTGTAGTTCTCCTAGTACGCTTTCTAGAGTAAACTCTTAACGCCACCGTATCATTGTCACTCAAGAGGTCAAAGGCTAACCAAGAATGAAATAATTTGATCCACTACAGCTGGAGTAACATGCTTTCACATATATGTCCATTGGGTCATGTTCAATTTCAAAATAACAAATATCTGAAATAAAATATCAATTACACTGTTCACAAAAGGAAATGAAAAACAATCGAAAGAAAAATAACTTCACATGTTCTAATGGAATTTATTCAAGTCTCTTTGCAATCTTTCCTGCCTTAACCCTTCGAAAAGTAAGACTAGCTCCAAAGTTTTAGGCACCTTTAACTAACACCGCTCCCACTCCCACTCCCACTCCCACTCCCAAATAATAATAATAATAGCAGTAGTGGTTTAAAATAAAAAACAATTAAAATTTGGAAATACTGAAAATATTTTTAAGCCAAGATTTCAAAATATAGTACACAGTTCTCAATAATCCTTAATCATACATGCAAATCCAAAAATAGGTAGAGAAGCAAATCACCCCGAAAGGGTTTCTGCCTCTTTTTCTTTTACTCGGCTAAAGTTAGAAGTTAACAATGTAATATAATAAACTACACAGCAGTACAAACCTAAGGATATAAACAATTTTACAACTTACAAGGCTGTTCATAATACCAATTCTACAAAAGGAAGCACTTTCAAGGGGGCAAATGCCACATTTTTACGTTTTAGTTTCTCACCCATCTTCATTGATTTCAATATGCAAACTTCTAACTAGATGAATGTTCGTTTTGTTTTTTGACAAATAGCTTGCTTATGTCTTCCGTAACAACATTTTTCCTGAAAAATACAGAATCAGAAATCCATCAATATCCATATATTTTTCAAAATGAAAACACAAACAGACATATCAGCGATGAGAATATGGAAAACTTAAACAGACAAAATGGTATATAATATGCTTTAGTATCGCCTAAAATAAAACAGTAAAAGAAAATATTAGGACTTGGGAAAGTGTATGGCAATGCACTAAATTATTATCCCTAGATGTCAGATGCTTCTGGAACATCAAGCAATTGCAGAAAAATTTGCAGCTTGACTGGAGGAATTGGGATTGCAGCCCGTAGGTATTAATTTAACTCTGGACAATTTTCGACTCTTCAGGAAGCTTAGAATTTTAAAAGGGAACATCATCAAATGCCCTTATCTATATAAAGAAATAAAATAAAATAAAAAGAAGCAAAATATCCAATATCTCTAGTTCATCCTACGTCAGCCCACGCTACCGAACACTCTACAACAAGGAATGGAAACAATAAAGACCTACATATAATCTTCTCATAGTCCCAACAACATGAAAATAACAAAGTATACTAAACATTTGGAAAAGTGGAAAACCCGCATAACATTAAATTGTTAAATAAATATAATATAAAAACATTATTATGGCCTTCAACTAAAACTTTTGGGTTGAAATGGTTCTTTATATGGTATCAGAGCCTATGTGATCATGTGGTCATAATTTTGATTCTCACCGCCCCCATTCTATTAATAAATAAATAAATGTTATAGAGTTTCTTAGCACAAATAGACAGACCTGTGCATTGCCCACCCTTTAAGACTAATGGACTCTTGCGTGAGGAGACGTGTTAAATAAATATAATATAAAACTAATATTGTGGACTTCACCAAATAGCTTAAACTTTTGGATTGAACTAGTTATTTACAAAAATCAATATCTAAATTATAAATAGACATTAGGGCATAGCTCATTTCAACTTCAACCTAAGTTAAAAAAATCTATCTAAATTCACCTTATGTCACCCTTCACCAAATCAGGATCTACTAATTATTGAGATAAAATTTTAAAAATAAAAAAAGAATATTAACTTTAAAAAATAGCTAGCAACAAATGCACAAAAAAAAATCAATAAGGAGATAGCTATCTGTCAACACGTCAAACTACCAACCTTCCACTGATCTGAGGTGGAACTAGCATAACACCAGCAGTTTCTGGGACATTCCTTGAACGAGGCAAGTTTCCTCTAGGAACTTTACTACGAACAGCAGAGGAGGCCATTCCATTAGAGTCTCTCTTACGTGAAGCATTTTCAGCTACAGCTGCAGCAACTCGGGAGGAGTGGTCACTAGCACTCGCCAGATTAGATAAGACGGTGGGTGAATTCAAAAGAAGTGAAGCATCAGGAAGTTTTTCCACTGAAGGTAGAGATGAATGTGGTTTATTTTCAGGCTGCTGGTCAGATGAATATCCAGATTTAGTCCTACAAGTTGAAAGTGCATAAATATCAAGACCAGAGAACAATGCTAATCAAAAAAGGTGAAATGTTACTGTAGTTTATGTTGAGTTGAGAATTTGTATAAAGTATAAACACACACACATATATATATATGTCTTTATCCCTGGGTCCTTTCTTTATTTTGTCTTTTTCAGGGTAAAACAGAGTTTTTATGGGATCTGGCTCACAAATGCAATATGATGACCCTTTATGGTTAACATGCATAATACATACAAATTATAAAAAGAGTATTCATTTCATTATATTTTTTTTTCATAAGAGAATTAAATCTTATCTGGATGAGATACACGGATAAGAACTAAGAAAAAGAAACTAAAAAATAAGAATTCTTGGAAAAACATTTCCAGTTTAGGAACAATTAACCAATCCACTGATTAAGGATTTTAAGAAGAGGTTAATAATCATCCACTTAATGACTTAATTACCAATTGAGTGTTTATATGTTCCTATTTCTAAATTTAAAATTTCCCATTTTTTTGTAACTTTCGCAAAAGAAATCATCATACAACATCAGAGCAAGAGAATGAAAAGTAAAACAAAATAAATTAAAATATATGAACAGAAAAAGGCTCTGCTGTCTCTCTGATGAATATCCATCTAAGACAGACCCTTGAAGAAACCATAGAAGAACAGCATAAGAGAGCTTCCAAGAAAATTTAAACTCCAACCAGGTACACAACAAAGGCTTCTTTACAAAATAAACTGCTATAAAGCTGCCTTCTCCCACTTCTTTCTATGAAAATTGCACAATGATTCAGCAAGCAATGCTCCAGATTTTCAGGAAAAGCCAGTAACTCAAAAAAGATGTCCAATATATTACAATTTCCAGTACAAAGCAAAAGCAAAATCTATACTTCATTTCAAGGGAGTGGGAATAGGAGAACCTAGAAAGTAAATATCCAAAGGAATAAAAGGGCTAAATAAACAGAAAAACACGTTATATTCCCATATTCCTAACATTGCTTTCTCCGACAATATTTTACAACCTTGCTTCAGAGAGAACACATGCAGATTTCTAATGCCAGCAACTAAGTTCATGTGTGTTTAATTGTCCAAAGTATTGTTATCAATAGGCACTCAATTAATTAGAAAAGCATATGTAGAAATAAGGATGTGTAGGAAAGTATAAGCAAAAAAATAGAAGGATGGACCAAAGAGCCAATTGGGTCAGCCTCTGTTAGTTAGGCCTTGTTAGTTAAAGTTGATAGAGTTAGTTAGTCCTTCTAACTGCAGAGGCAGAGGTAGATAGAGGGGGAGAATGTAATTGAATTCGGGTAGTTGGTCAGTTAATTTTGGAGGGAGAGACCAGGCTCTCGCATTCCTTGGGAAGTTTGCTTTGTACACCAGGCTTTCAATATCAAATTATTCACATTATTCTCTCTTTTCTTCCTTCCACACCTAAATACCTATAATATTAGTATAAATAAGGAATAGTGCTTTGTGCTTGTATCACATTATAACATATTAAATCAATACCAATTTCATTTCATTCACTTTATTCTATCTTTTCTTCCTTCAATACCTAAATCCCTATAGTATCAACAATTGCTAATATCAAACCCACCCTTGTTTTCTGCTAAAAGTTGGATTAAATCAGAAAGTAAGCCATAACCAATCAGCCATATATTCCATCATTGAACTTATAAGACTTGGGATTGGTTTTCAGGTCCAAGAAACCAAACATTATCTCCTCGGCTGTGACAGTAATTTTCAACAATGTTTAGCTTTCAAGTAACACCCATTATTCTGATGGGGGAATGGATGATCATAGACTCTAATTTTGTATCAGTGCCCATTGTATAAAGTGAAAACTCAACACAAGAAGTAATTAACGCCCTAACACTACTAACAACTAGTATTCTATTCATCAGTGTGAATAAATACAGAAAAGTTATCACTACATCTCAAAGGGAATAAAAGGGCTATTAACCCATCAATCAAATGCTGAACTGAAAAAAAAAAAAAAAAAAAAAAAAGGAGGGGAAAAAAACACAAAACAAAAGCAACCCATTTACAAGCACTTTCAGAACAAGCGAATTTCTGATACAAGAAGCAAAGAGAACGGGACTTACTGGGTCCGAGGAGGAGGTTGCGGTGGCGGTGAATCGCGTTGGGAAAGTTGGGGTTCGTCCTCTTTCTTGCGACCTTCTTCACTGGGTTCCGGAACGTCGTCGTCCGAAGAGGAAGCGTAATCGACTAGCGACATTTCTCGTTGGTGATTTTGTTTCTCTCCGTCTTCACTGCCGTCGACGGCGTTTCTGGGTTTCTTCTGCGTCTAGGCGTGAGTTCCTTGGATTCGGTCACCCCGTGCGTGGAAAGCGCTATTTTTTTTTTTTTTATGTTTTTAATTTTTAGATAAAATTACACGTTCTTAGAAAAACAATTTTATATTTCTTATAGGGTTTTGTGTTTGTTTGTCATTTTAAATGACGGAAATCATGGGAGAGAGATAGTGAGTGATTTTTTTAATTTAAAATTTAAATAAAAAAAATTATGTGTGTCTCTCTCTTAAAATGACATAACATTATGTCATTTAAAATGACAAACACTTTTATGTTTATCATGTAACATAACACAATTTCATTTTTCTACACACACATTAAAGAGGTGGGATCCACATATTTTTTTTACTCTTTCGTTATTTCACTTTCTCTCACCTTTTTGTTATGTGTGTTGTTGGAAACAAAACTTAAGTTATATAACATAACATTAATAAAACTCTTTCTTATATGGGTTTGATGTTTGTCATTTTAAATGACATAAGTTATGTCATTTTAGAACAGAGATAGACACATGAAATGAAAATCATGGGAGAGAGAAAGTGAGTGATTTTTTTTAATTTAAATTTTAAATAAAAATAAAATTATGTGTCTATCTCTCTCTTAAAATGACATAAGTTGATGTCATTTAAAATGACAAAAACTTTTCCCTTATTATATTATATAATATTAGTCTTCTTATGCCATATATTAGAAAAAAATTATATGTGAGACTCATGTCAACACGGTAATCGAAAGGTGTGTCGGAGAAATTTTTAGAAAATTTTTCTTCTCGTGTTACATGAGAAGTAGGGGTATTAACAAGCTCAGCCGAGTTTTGGTCTTAAAAAGATAAACCTGTGTTTAAATGTATCAGTTTGATTAAGCCTGTTTTGTGACCTGACTTATTTACAAAAAATAAATACATGATTTAGCCTATTATCCTGTTTTAAAAAATAAGAAAACCAAAATTTATGAAAATATAATATAGGAAAATAATTATCTCATGCATTACATACGAATTGGATGTGGGACCCATTTTAAATTTTCTCTCTCTCCCTTATTTTCTCTCCTCTATCTTCCATTTGTGTGTAGGAGATTGTTTTTCTCTCATGTTAAACGAGAAAAACAATCCCCTATAATATATAATAGGAAAAATAAATCTTAGGGGGTGTACTGGATTAGGATTTTAAAAGATTTTTTTTGAGATAAAAAATCTTACAGATTTTAAAAGACATTTTAGAATTGGAGGGACTTTAAAACTTTTTTTAAAAGACTTTTTTTACAATCAAGATTTCATAAGATTGAATTTTAATAGAATTTATAAGATTTGAAAGGACAATATGGATTTATAAAATTTTAAAAATCGTATGAATTTTTAACTAACATTCAAAATTACAAGAGTCAATAAAAAAAATAACAAAGAAATGGATTTTTTTTAATGTTTGTCATTTTTAATGAAACTAAGTCGTTTTGTTGTGTTTTTACATTCTCTTTCCTCAATTTTCTTTTTCTTCCTAATTTTATAAAAAAACAAAATGACAAAACACACCAAAACGACGTAGTTTCATTAAAAATGACACAAAGTTGTAGGCAACAAAAATAATTTATTGCTTTTTTAATAAAAAATTATGAAAATGTAGTCATTTTGAAATTAAATACGAAAATATAGCAGTCAAACACGCCCACATGGGGTGTGTTCCAATAAAGAGAAACACGCCCATATAGGGCGTGACCTAAGCGTGAGTCACGCCCACATGGGGCGTGACCAGGTTGGAGAGAGACACTCTCAATTGGGGCGTGATCGAGGAGAGAGACATTCCCCATTTGGTAGTGACCGAGGAGAGAGACACTCCCCATCTGGGCGTGTTTCACCAGGTGCTGCCACGTGGCATAAAAGTCAATAGTTTGACCATAAAACTTTAGAAGTCCATAACTTTTGACTCGGGTATCCGAATTAAGTAATTTTTTTTTATTCCACATAACTTTTTGAGATCTACGTAATGACACCTCATTTGGCATATTTTGTCTCTCACAAAAAAATTTTGAATTTACAACAACGATACCATAATTATTAAAAATGACATAACTTTGTTACCTTATAATTATTACTAAAAATAATCTAACATTTTTATAATCATGAACAAAAACTTAGAAATCAAAATAAAACGAAAAGCACTCACTTAACTTTTTAATATAAATTATTCGATATTCTGTCACCGACAGATGTTAACCGAATAAAATTATAAATTTCCTAAAAAATTTCATTCAAATTTTTAATATATATCTCAATAACATACATAATTAACCTTATCATAACTTACCATAATCATAAGGATCTTTATTATGAATATTTCTAATCATAACAGTGATTTTCTGCTTATTAATTTGAGTTTAAACGTTCGTATGGTATTATTATTGTAAATTCAATTTTTTTTTGTGAGAGACAAAATATGCCAAATGAGGTGTCATTACGTAGATCACGAAAAGTTATGTGAAATCAAAAAAAATTTACCTAATTCGGATACCCGAGTCAAAAGTTATGGACTTCCAAAGTTTTACGGTCAAACTGTTGACTTTTTTTGCCACGTGGCAGCACGTGGTGAAACACGCCCAGATAGGGAGTGTCTCTCTCCTCGGTCACGCCCAGATGGGGAGTGTCTCTCTCCAACCGGTCACGCCCCTATTGGGCGTGTTTGACATCTATATTTTCGTAATTAATTTCAAAACGACTACTTATTCGTAATTTTTTATTAAAAAAGCAATAACTAATTTTTTTGCCCAAAGTTGTGTCATTTAAAATGACACAAAGTTGTGTTATTTAAAATGACAAATATTTTTTCCTATATATATATATATATGGTTTCACTTTTTGTCATGTCACATGACAAGACCATTTTCCTGCACACACAAATCAAGTGTGGGTCCCACGCTTCAAAAAAAAAAGTCAAACCAAAATCAGGATACGGCGTCGTATCCTCAAGATACGTTGCCGGATCCTTGTTGCAGGAATGAACAGTGTCATTCCTGCAACATGATTCTTATATTTCCCTATATATATATATATATATATATATATATATATATATATATATATATATATATATATATAGGGTTTGATTTTCTCATGTTGCATGAGAATTCAATCCTCATGTTGTGACTCAACTAGTGGTGCATTTATTTAAAAAAAAATTGCACGCAAATCGAAGGGTCACAACATTGGAATTGAATTCTTATGCAACATGAGAAAATGTTTTCCCTATATATATATATATGGAAAAAGTGTGTGTTCTTTTAAAACACACAAACATAGGTCCTTTTAAGAGAAAAATAGACACAAAGAGGTGTGGATCCCACTAAAAAAAAATAAAGACAAAAAAAATAAAGGTGTGAGTCTCAAAAAAAAATAAAGGTGTGAGTCTCACCTTTATGTGTTTATCTCTATCTCAAAAGGACCTAAATTTGTGTCTTTGAAAAGGACACATATTTTTCCACACACTCACACATATATATGAGGTAGGATATTCTTACTACCGAATATTCCTACTATCAATTTACTACCACTTCACAGCCATTGGACCCCACTTTTCAGCATTAAATCTCTGCAAAGTTTCTGAAAAAATGTAGTTTTTGATGTACTTCCGGTAATACATAGTTATATTAGATTGGTAGTAGGAACATTTGATTGTAAGAATATCCTACCTCTTTCTTTCTTTCTTTCTTTCTCTCTCTCTCTCTCTATATATATATATATAGAGAATTATTTATCTTTTTAAAGGACATAAAATTGTGTCATTTTAAGTAAGAGAATGACACAATTTAATATATATTTTTTTTAAATTTAAATTACATTTTCTCCCCCATGATTTCCATTGCTTGAGTATTTCTCTCCCTTAAAATGACACATTTTAATGTCTTTTAAAAGGACAAATACCAAACCTATATATGTATATATATATATATGATATTAATGTTTCTCATCTTGTAGAAGATAAATTTATCTCCTACACACATATAAAAATAAATAGCCCAATGTGGGGCCAGTGAAGAGAATATAGAGAGAAAAAAAATATGAGCCCCACACATTTTTATATGTATGTAGAAGATAAAAGTATCTCCTACAACATGAGAAGCACTAATCCACACACACACACATATATAGGATCTTTTGGCTTCAATGTCAAACTTATTTTATTTAAAATGACAAATATCAAACCTAGGTATATATACAGGAAAAAGTATTTGTCATTTTAAATGACATAAAATTAGGTCATTTTAAGAGAGATAGACACAAAATAAAATTTTTTTATTTAAAATTTTAATTTTAAAAAAAACCACCCACTTTTTCCCCATGATTTTCATTCCCTGTGTCTATCTCTCTCCTAAAATGACATAATTTATGTCATTTAAAATGACATAACTTATGTCATTTAAAATGACAAATATCAAACCTATATATATATATATATATATATATATGAAAAAAAGAAAAAATGTTTTTTTATTATCGTATTCATTATAATTTGGTTTGGTATCATTTTAAATTAAACGAAGTTTGAGAGTATTACGAGAAGAGGATTAAAAAAATCACCAAATAGGTAAAAATTGGCGGTCGTTGCACTCCTTTCAACATTTTTTCCGTACATATGAAGGGAAAAATAAGTATAATATTGTAGTAAAGTGTTTAGGTTATGTTATAGAGATAGAAATTGTGAGACCTAACCTCCAAAAAAAAAAAAAAAGAAATTGTGAGACCCACACTTGTTTTCAAAAATAAAAAAAATAAAAAAGTGTGGGTCCCACAATCTCTATCTCTATAACATAACCTAAACACTTTGGCTTTTTGATCCTTTTGTCCCTTATTAATTAATTAATAATCATTTTGTCCTTTACCTAGAACTATCTACCAACCTACTCCTCTTTAATCGATTAACTTGAATATTTAATCGATTAAATGGTCAAAGTAGGCAAAAATGGTTGACTCGAGATTTAACTGATTAAATCTTCCTCTTTAATCGATTAAGTTGCATATTTAATCGATTAAAACTTATATTTAATCGATTAAATATCCCAAATAAACT